TAATAATAGTAAAAAAGAAGTATTGTATCTTAGCAAAAATATCAACCTAGTTATGGCTTAATTTTCTTTTTCTAGTTTATTATTTTACATCCAAAGACTTTGGTCTTTCGCGAAAGGAAATGTACAATATTATTTTGAAGCATTTTTTAACTATTTAAAAAAAAAAATTTAAGTTTGGCTACCAATAAATATGATAGTAACCCAATTGTTGGAGAACCAATGAATTAAATGTGTAGTTTTTATAAGTTTTTAAGCAACTCTTTTTTTATTTGTTGTTTTTAATTATGATTTTAATTTTTTAATTTTAAGCTAAAAATTTCATAAACTGTGATTTTTATTAATGGATTCTGAGATCAAAACAAAAGTCAACAAAGTCTTGTATAAAATAAATGTTAAAAAAGAAAGCAGTAAAATAGTATTAACAAAAAAAAAAGAGCAATTGAATCAGTTACAAATTCTGTTGATTAAAGCAACTTCAAAAAAATATAACTTTCATTGCAGTACTTAGCAAAAAAAAAATGCTCTGGTGCTATTTTATTTGCAGAGCTCCTAAACCAGCACCTACTTTGCTAATATACATACGAAAGGTAAAAAATAACATTTTTATCTCTTGGATAAAGTTTTTGATTATATGAACTTCTTTTTGACAAGGATTTGAAAAATAACAATTGTTATTCAATTATGAATAGAGCAACAAAAAATGTTTTTAAAAAGATTTAGTACTAATTAAAATAGTATTTTTCAAGAGTTCAAATCAATATAAAAAAATAAAAAGTCAACAAAAAATTATACAATGAAACAATTCACTAATGGACTTTTATTTCTTATTTATCTGTTTTATTTCTTATTAAACTATTTTTCTAGTTTTGTGCCATGTTTAAAGTGAATTCATTCACTGGAACAGTTTATGTAAGATATTATAAATATATATATATATGTATATATATATATATATATATATATATATATATATATATATATATATATATATATATATATATATATATATATATATATATATATATATGATTTGTATATATAAGTAATTTATTAATTAAAACAAAAAACATACTTACTCTTGCTTGTTTAAAAAATACACACATTATGTTCTGTCAATGTTCAATAACAACTTTAAAAGTAATTTGCTTTTTGGTTATTAACCAACCATAAAGTAATGTTTCGGCACTACGCAAATTAGAACACGATGCTTTGCAATTGCAGTTGCTTGCGTTTAAAGTCGTGCCGAAACATATTCTATGGTTTGTTAACTTAATTTTTGTCAATTTACGTCGTAAGTCATCGCACGATGTTAAAACTACGTCCGTTAAACGACATTGTTCCGACGTTGTTATATCAACGTTGTTCTTACGTTGTTTTAGGTCGGCCGACGTCGCCGATAAAAATACAACGTAAACCCAACGTCGGATTGACGTCGGGTGCCCACTAGGGTGTATGTTTTTCTATAAAGGCAATGTTGTTTTTTTTATAAAGAACTCATATATTCATATTAGTAAACTATAAATTTAAGTTTCGTATTTTTTAGATTATGAAACGGAATTTTTTATAATTTTTTAGAATTTTATGGGTGAATCCTGGGCAACACAGGATCCTCCTAAAACCGCCCCTGCCCTAAAGATTTTAAAAAGAACAACTTTAAGTTGTTCAAAGCAATCTAAAACCACGTTTCCATTAATTTGATCTGCTCCAATTGCTTTATTTTTTAAACAGATTTAAAGGCTCTTTCATCAAACATTAGTTCGGAACTAACTCATCAAACATTAGTTCGGAAGATAACTCATCTGAACAAATGTAATTATCCAGGAGTTCTAGATAGTCAGTAAACAAAGATTTGGTCTTGGGGATTTTTTAAGACAGTGTTGGTCCTATATGAGTGTAATATTTGTTAAATTCTTTAGCTATAGTTTTTGGTTCGTATAAACTTTTGTTATCAACTCTAACCATTTGTGGCAGAAAACCGGAGCATGGTTTATTTTTGCAAATAATTTCTTTTATTATTTGCCACGTGCGCTTTGTGTCGTATTGAATAATTGGGAGTAATAATTTTTCCTTAAATTTTTTCGAATTTTTTTTAATAGGTTTTTGTAATTCTTATAAATTTTTTCGCTTGAAGCTGTTTTTGTTTTTAAAAAATTTATGTAAAACTTTTGTTTTATTCTGGATGATTTTTCAAAACCTTTAGTAATCCAGGGTGTATTGATATTCTTAATTGTTGCTTTTTTTCTACTATTAGGAAATTAACTTCATATAAAGAAAAAAATGTTTTGAAAAAAGTTTCATAAATATTATTTGCGTTATCATCAAAATTTATGTTTTTAAAATGCAGTAATGATATTTGTTCTTTAAATAATTTCATATTAGCCTCATTATAAATGCGTTTTCTTATTATTTTTATATTAATGTTTCTTTCTGGGTTTGTTTTATTAAGTTTTAAGAATAGAGGAAAATGATCCGATATATCAGTTTTTATGATACCTATTTGTATATTATTAATAAAAATATTAGTAGTTAAAAAATTATCTATAAGAGTTGCTGTGTTTACTGTTACTCTAATGGGTCGATTTATTAAAGTAACTGACCCTGTTTCAAAAATTGCATCATAAAAATTCTTAATTTTTTGTTCGTCATTATAGAGAAAACAGTTTATATTTAAGTCTCCGACTATATAGTTTTCATTTTTATCATTAATTCCTTTTTTAATAATTTGTAAAAACATGCTCAGGTTTTCGATCACGCCGTCAGGTGGCCGATAACAACAGCTTTATTAAATATTTTTAGTTTGATTGTTTGTAATTTCAATAGTTACAATTTCTTTATCACAGTCAGAAACGCTGAAATCATTCCTTAAACAACACTCAAAATTTTCTTGAACATAAATTAATACTCCACCGCCGCGCTTATTTATTTTTCTCTCCATAGAAATAATATTAAAATGAGGAATATCAAAATTACTACTTATTTCATCTTCTGTGATCCAAGTTTCAGTTAAACAAATTATATTAAAATTGTGTTTAGTTTCTTCTATTAGATTTAAAAGTTTTTCAAAATTGCATTTCAAACTTTTTATATTGAGGTGGAGAATTACAATTTGATTATTACTTTTATAGCGAGCATTCTTAAAATGAAACCCATCTAGTTGGTTTGGAAAATAATACGAACAATAGGATAAAATACTGCGATAGAAAATATTTTTTAGGGTTTAGGTATTCTTCTGAAGAAAAGAGATTTGTTTCATATAAATTAAAAAAAAGGGATTCAAAGTTATTAGTCATAGCCATGACAATAAATTGGAAAAAAAAAAAAAAAAAAAAAGATTTCTTTTTAGGAGTACTAGTTATTTGTTAAGATTGATTTTAAAATTATTATTAAGATAAATAAATTTGTCATATTTTACCGTTACATTTTCACCATTTGAACGCCTTTGTTTTACTTCTTGCAAATTATCTTTTCCGAATAGCAACGGTCTCACGAGAAAAGTCTTTATTAATAAAAAAAACTCGTTTCTTTTAGAGTAAGCGATCTTTAGCATGCACCAAAAGGAGGTGTTATAGATTTTAAAGTTTGCAGACTACGGAAAAATTTGTTGATATCAAACTTAGACCATATAAACTGATAGACACGGCGTTTTCTGAAAAAGTTATATGACGTATGACGTCACTTTGTGGCAAAAACGCAAAATAAAAATGATTTTAGTTAAATGTTTTTAAAAAGAACTTGCTTTTAAAAGAACTCTTAAGAACTTTAAGAAAGAAAATTTAATCCTCCTATAAAAAATTATTTTATTTTATTTTTTAATAAAGACTATTTTTCTAATAAAATCTTTCTAATAAAATTTTTCTAATAAAAATCAATTACTAAACAATTTCGTTAAGCCAAAAACTTTTAACTTAATAAAAAAACCCTCGATTTTATTGGACGGTAAAAATAACAAAAAGTTAAATGTATGTGTAAACATATATATTATTGACCACAAAATAAAAAACTCTTAGTTAATTTATTTCGTAATTTTTTTGAATGTTTATTTAAAGTATCTGCTTGGTGGTATAACCTAAGGTTACAATAACAGAAGCTAATCATTTTTACAAAGTTGACCAAATGATTAGAACATCATTGTCAAACATATGATCTCTATTACCAATAAAAATAGAACTGCGAACACTGTTAAAAATATTATTAATCAATTTTGTCATTATATTTTTTTGAAACAACCTCTTTTCCTCCTGAAAAATTCTAATTTCACTTTCTGCAAGTTTACATATATGAATTACGTCTTTAGATGATTGAGCGAAACAGAGTTTAACACTGCTGTAATTTTTATTTGTTATTAAAGTTGAAGTTGGGGTCTTTGATTGAATTAAGGTTAAACTAATGTCACAATCTAAAACCTTTTTAACTTTTTTTACAACAAATCCAGCAATATATTCGACAACATCAGACACATATAACGATAACTTTCTTGAATAACTTATGTTATTTAGAGCATATGCATGGTCATCAGAGTTAGTTTTTTCCATTTCAAAATCTTCAATGAGCTGATGTTCAATTGTTTTCCTTTTAACATTTTTTAACGTACTCATTGCTAAAATTATCGCTGGTGCTTGCTCAATGCAATCGTCCTGAGAAGAACCTGAAACACTTGTGTGCATAAATAATTTTTTGTAGACAGCTTGAAATTGTTTTGCTGTGGGATTATTGTTATATCCTCCATGGCTTCTTATGGCATTCTTATGGCCTTAAAAACTTCCAAATGGTCTTGAGATAATTTGTAAGCAGAAAGATACCTTAAACTACTATTATTTTTTTGAACATAGTCATTCCATATTCCCATAAAAGACTTTAGGATTACAGTTAACCCAATAAAACCAGTTGATACCTATATTTCACTTTCCCTTTTTGAGAGGAGATTCTATGAATGTTCTTTCAAATTTCTCAAATAATTCCAATGATTCATCTCTGTCTAAAGATGCAGTTTCTGAGGTACTTTAAAAAGATGCAGCATCATTTGTTATTTCATTTTTTTCACATTCATTTGTGGTTTTTCTAGGTACAGGAAAATTTCTAGGTTTCATTAGCTTCACAAAACTGCTAGAAAAATCAAAAATGCTTGGTATAGCATCTTTTTTAAGTTGCTTTTTTGAACTCCAACCACAAACAATGTACGATTCTTGTGTTAAATGCTTAGAACAAATTTTTGAACTCTTTGTTAGATTAAATTTTTCTCTACGCATTGCAACAATCTATTTATTCCAAATTAATAAATCTTCTGGAAATCTACAACATAAAAATATTTTATAAATAAAAATAAAACAAATTATAGTTAGTGTTTATATATAATTAAAAATTTTAAACAAATACCAACTGATATTACTGTTTATTAACAACTTAATAGCAATTATTAACATGTTAATAATCGTTTAAAATCCAAAATCAGGAATAAAAATTTTTATAAACAGTATGCCAGATTTAAATAATTTTAAAGCTATAAATTATGTTTAGGGTTTTGAATACGTATAAGCTATTACTAATAGTCTGTGGTGTAATATGTATGGTGTAAATATAATAGGTTAAATGTATGGTGTAAATATAATATAGTGCAAATATAATAGTTGAATGTTATATAGTACCATTCATCAAAACGTATTTAAAACCCAAAGTGTGCTACACAACACAATGTATTTACCAATAATAATGACACATAATCATATTATGATATTTTATTATCTAGCACGAATCATAGAATCTTATGTCATAGAAATGACATCTATATGTCATAAGCTATGATTCAAAATTATTAATTATATGATTTTAAATTATTTTTTATTTATTACAAACTCTTACCCATGAAATGATATCTCTTAACCATTTTTATATCTGTTTCTGTGCAGTTGTATGCACTGCGAGAATGCACCATAATTAAAATTGATTTTAAAAATGAGATGAATGTAAGAGCGAACTCTTTTTTAAAAAATGTTTTTTGCCTCAAAGTGACGTCACAGCAAAAAATTTTTTTTGGCTTCTGTAAGATTTTATTACAAAACTTGCACCTACATATATTTTATATGACAGCCGTGTTATTTGTTATTTGATCTCTGAAAACTAAATGTTGTAGCCTTATTTTTATAAAGATCAGTATATTATTACAAAAATTTTACAAATATATAAATGAAAAAAAGGATAAAAAACATCTTAGAGTACTTAAACTTTATTTTCAATTAACAAATTTTAGTGAACTCGTAGTTTTGTTTGTTTATTTGAAATCAATTTTCTTAAAATCTGACTGTAGGACTTCAATTATGACACTGTTATGACTATTTACTAATAATATTATTAAATAGTCATATATATATATATATATATATATATATATATATATATATATATATATATATATATATATATATATATATATATATATATATATATATATATATAAATACATACATACATACATACATACGTATACATAAACGTTTTGGACTTGTATAGAGAGGAAAGGTGATTTTAATGTAAATATAAAATCCACATTGATAAATTAAAATCTTTATAACAAAGTTATTGAATTTTTTTTAGTCTTTTTTTAAGATTAAATTTTAAGATTAAAGTTGGATTTACTCCCAAAACATATTTTTTTGGTGAATTATTAGAGAAATCTAAAATATGCATAAAAACGAAGTAAATTTTTTTTGCTATTTGATATATATTTATTATACAAATATAACACTGACTTTTTTATAAACACTTAAAATGATAATACACTTGAAATAATTATATAATATTTAATTAACGTTAATAAATTTGGTTTCAACATAACTACTTCAAAACACCATTATTTGTATATAAATAAATAAACACGCACAAATCATCTCTTTCTAATAATATTTGTCTTTAACGATCTTATGTCCTCTTCTTCGAAGACGAGGTATACTTTCGATAACTTTTTTAACATCAAGTAGCGGACACGGAATCTTTCTCATGATATATATCGAAAACGCTTTACGAAGTGATGCGTTTTCTTTTTCCGACCAACTTTTCTTAGTTTTTTGTGACTAAATAAGAACACTAAATAATAAGAACCAACAAAACTCAAGATTTGTTTATAATTTTGAAACGAATTTTTCTTTTTAAAGAGAAAGCAAAGTTAATTTAAATTCAAAAAATAACCTCTTTGTGCATGTTTAGTCTTATATTTTGTATTCTTTTACGTTCAACATTGATTAATTCATTTTCAATGACATTGCTATTTGCATCTCGAACATCTTCATCTGAATGAGTGCAAACATTAGCACTTCCTCCTGTATTAACATTTGATATCCCTATAACCAATAACGAATAAATGGTTACAACTGCAACAATTTATAAATTTGAATAAAGGGCATTAAATGTTTTTTAACCATTACATGAATCAACGTTAAACATTTATTTTAAAATCAAAATTGTTTTAAAACACATTTGTGGGTGCTGTTATACACCTATTTTTCCACACCTGTTTGTCTTAAAAGCTTTATTATTCATTATATTTATATTTGTAATATAAAACGACACTAAGCAGTTAAAAACAGATTTATAACAAGGTTTTTTAGCATTCAAAAAGACTATTTTACAAAACGGGATGTTTAAGACAAAACATGAGGTGCCTATCTGCACAAAAATTCACAAAAAATTGTAAAAAGTCACAAAATTGTAAGTTAATTCCATTTCCCATTCTACAGAAATTTGAAAATCTAAATATTGGACTCAAAAAAAAAAATTGGTTTAAAAATGGAAAAACAAAATATCAGTTTTTATTGATGCTAAGGGTAGTTTTTCATTGCTTTCTTAAAATGAGTTTACTCAAACTTAAGGCGTTTTGCAAATGATCTCAATATATACTCACCTTAACTCACCTATAAAAAATTTTTTATGACAGGTAACCAACATTTATATGCAGGAAAAGAAGTCAAATAAAAAAAGTTATTAAGTAAAAAAAACAAACCAATTCCTTCAAAACTATTTTGTGAAATTAAGTGAATCGATTTTCTTATTTTGAATGCACATTGCATCACCATTATCCATAGCAAGAAGAACTTTTGCTACTTTTGTTAATTCGTTAGTAGAATCCTCACGTCGATACCAATTTTGATGAACATCTTTAGTATGCCCTATGTGATTTGTGAGCCACAAAAGCTCAGCATTATTTATGTCTAACAACTGCAGAATGGTTGAATAATACTTTCTAGTTCTAGTTGGTGTAATAAGCTTTGGCTTCGATAAATTAAGCTTTTTGTTAAAGATTGCATATCTGAACAGAAAAATATATAAAATAAGATGTCATCAAATTTTTAATAAGTGAATAAAAAACAAAATTCCATACCTCTCCGTTTTTTTTGCCTTCAAATAACATAGTTTAAATCGTTCCGCAAGCTTTTTTTCTATTGGATCATCTAAAGCATCTATGTCAGTTTGGCGTTTCCACCTGCCTTTTTCTACCATATCCCAATCTGCTAATGTTAACTTTCCAGGTTCTCCACCTCGCCTAGCATTAAATGTATTCTTACATAAGTTTACACAAATGTATATATTTATTAGATGTAAGAATCGTGTTGTTTAAATACTTGCTGATTTCACTAACACAATAATTTCTTAAAACTTTAATGTCACTTTTTTTTCGCAACATATCTGGTGCATTGGCTTTTCGTAAATCAAATACACTACGTGCATTGTTTAAAAAAATACTGTAGTCTGATTCCAATAGCTCTAAAAAATTTCGAATGTTTTTAACCATGTCTTGTAATCCTAATTTCAGGTACTCTAACTTGACTATTATAGCAAAAGTTTTTAATAAATATCCTATTCTTAAAACAGGATGAGGATTTCCAATTTTTCTTGGTCCACAATAATCTGCACAAACTTTCATAGAAGAAACAATGTTATCATAGTTTTTCGTATTGACTAAATCTTTCGCAGATGCATCTTCTGCATTAAAGTGTTTTCTGTATTGCAACAATAACTTTGCAAAAACTCGAAGTGCATAGCCTACATAATGGTAACGATCTCTTTCTTTTTTACCATCTTCAACTGCTCCATAGGTCAATAATAACTTATCATTGCGAATAACAAGGTGAAGTTTATCATGTTTCGTAGTTGTAAGTATATACTCATGTACAATTTTAGCATTGTTGGTCAAATTAGATTGGCCTACTAATATTCGAGAAGCTTTTATATAACTTATTTCCTTGTTATCACTACCACACCTAAAACACTTTGAAACATGTTCACAAAGTTTCCTTGCTCTGAAAAAACCATAACAATATTCACAAGGCAATAGCTCATCATCTTTGTTGACTGTACAATTTCCTTACCGATGTTATTTTTTTAAAATTTTCAATGTCATTTATATTTACATTAAAATCACCTTTCCTCTCTATATAAGTCCACATATTTCTTTGCTCTTTACATTTTTTTGGATAACGAAGGGCTTCAATAACAAGTTCTTCATGCTTATGAATATGTTCTAAATGCCTTGAGACTTTTGAGAGAAGTTTTTAACAATAAAGACAGTGTTTTTATATATAATAAATACTTCCAAAATGAAAGGGTCTTTGAGCAAAAAACAGAGATTCATTAGGCTATTTTATCAAATTAAAAAAGAAAATATTATTTGAAACACAAAAATAACCTACAGGGAAGAGAAGACTAGATATCTAGTAGGTAATATCTCCACACTGTTCACAAACTCATCATTATCACTTGACTCTACTTCATCAAGAATACCAGAAGACTTTAAAAAAGCAAACCATAGATTTGTGATACTTAAAATAGATTAAATTAAAAACAAACATAATAAGGGAAAAAAACATAATATCAATAAAATTATTACACACCTATGGTAATGTATGTAAGCTGTTTGACACCTCTGACTTTTTTGTGTCACATAAATCATAGACCTTAAAGAAATTAACAACAAAAGGTTTATATATGAATGTTTCTATCTTTAAAACTTATTAATTATATTGTAAAACTTGAAAGCACCTCAGATGCGGTTTCAGATTCTAATTCTCCTAAAGTAAAAGGTTTCAGAAGATGTTTCTAAAATAAAATAAAACATTTGAAACAAATATTCAATATATTTACCAAAAAAAACTTTAATCAATAAAAAAACTTTTGCTTTATGTAAATTCATACAAGCTTTTGCCACCATAGATTAGGCGTCTTATAGTCATATCCTTGTAAAATTGTTGTATGTGCAAAGATACATAAATATGGCTGAAAATCCACCATTATAACTTAAATAATAGCATTTGTACTCTTCAGTGCAATATCATTTATATAATTACCAATACATTCAGTGTTAGTTGCTTCTATGCTAAACTGAATATATATACTTTTTAAATTAAAACAACTCATTAAAAAACTGTAGATACAAAAAAAATTTTTAGTTTTAATAAATTATTATACTTACCAATACTTAAGGCGTTTATGATCAAGAAAAAAAATATAACTGCCTTTGTTTTCTTCATAAATATCTTCTCTTTTTTCCCCCTCTTCTAGAGATATTAATTCACCAAAATAGGCACATATAAAATGACCCTTTTTTAGTGTAACTTCAGTGAAAACGCCATACCCTGAAAACAATTCATATAAAAATTTTAACTCCCATAAATTTAAAATTAACTATAAATGTATTTACTTAGGACTAACCATTATTAGCATTGATATAGCATTTTTTTTTAAATTCAGTATCCTTTTTTTCTAAACAATATTTATATGCAGTTGAATCGCATTTTAATCTAGAAACAATGGCCATCTAGATGGCCATCTAGAAACAATGTTACATTGTTTCTAGATGGGCATCTCATATTTTCCATGTTGTTTTAAGATCTTTCTAAAAATATTATTTAATTACATTCTTAAAAATATTGCAATTCCTTTTTTTACGTTTTACTATTACTGTACAAAACTTCAACAACTTAACATTCATAATGGCATCATTATCAGGACATATAAAAACCTAAATGAAAGTTTGTGTTAACTATATTTTGCTTTGCATTAGTCTTTATGTTGCAAAAGGTGAGTAAAATTGTTTAAACTACTTTAGGCTTTACAAAATTAAAATAAAAAAAATTAAAATAAGAACTTCTTTAATTTTTCAAAAATTAACTAGCAACCAACTAACTGGTTACTTTGTTAGATTTTAATAATGTAGCTCCATGAAGGTACAATGGTACATTACATTATAGAAATGTTAATATCTCCTCAAAATATTTTGTACTCGATGTTAATTAAGAAAGATGAAAAAACATATATAAAAACCGAAGCAGTGTACTGGAATTGACTACAAAAAACAAGTTTAGAATTGTTTAAATCACTTTGCTAACATTTAATATCATTATATATTATTAAATTATGTAGAAATTATAAATTTACACTATAAAATGCTAACTATGAAAGTTAATACTATTATACAATATTAGAACCGTAACCTATGTAAATTATAGTTAATACCTAGGTAAATTATGGATACTTAAATTATATTAATTAAGGTTAAAAATATTTTATGATACTATTTTATTTTTTTAATAATAGTTTAATGCTTAAAAATATTTTGTAATTAATATAATTTTGTATTTATACTTATAATTCATTATAATATTTATAATTCATTATACTATTATCATTATTACATATATAATATTTATAATTCATTAAATTATTATCATTATTATTTTTTACATTGTTTATCATTATTTATAATTCTCTATATTTATAATTTCTGTCATTATATTTAATAAAATTAGAATTTATATTTGCCTTTAAAACAAAAGGAGCCTTGAATGGTATTTAGTTTAAAGTTGCTCAAAATGTACGATTTAGCCGGAGTCTCAGTTACAGTGCACCATAAAAAATACATTTTTTAAAAAGAGATTAGAACAAAACAAAATCTAAGCTGGTTCTTACGTGTTAAAAAAAAAATGAATGTATTTTCTGAAAAATAAACATATTTAATTAGTTTTAAATAATACATTTATTTTTAATGAAATAGGTATATAAACATCATTACTGAAGTTTAGTATGTTTTTTTCAAAAACTTGTTTTGACTTAATCTATAAAAAAAAAAAAAAAATCAATGCACCTTAACTGAGACTTTAAGAAAATCATACACTTTAAGCCAGTGTAAACTTGAAAATGGTATAAAAAAATTAAAAGAGAGTCTCTCACAAAAAATAATTTTTGATGCACCATAACTGAGACTCGGAGAAATAGGTAAATTATAGTTTTTAAGCCATTATAAACTTAATAAATGTCGAGACTCTTTTACTTCCAGTTAAAATATAAAAACAAATGTTGCACTGTTATAACGATAACATACATTTTATAAATTATTTTTAATTAAGTTTACTAATTTTAATTCTTATTTGTACTTTTATCGGTACTGCACGTGGTACATTCTAAAATTGCTACAAAACAACACAACATTTTTTTAATCTTTTTTTAAACACTGTTACTGAGACTTATAAACTTTTATAAATTTTATAAATTCTTTTTCAAGATTAAAATTTAATCTCTTAAAATATATTTTTGATCATAGTCATAAAAATAAATAGTCTGGAAATAAAGGCTGCTCCCATTGTTTTGCTGTTTTATGTTGAAACTCGTATTAATGACCCGCTGAAGGTGCACAGAAAGATAAACAAAACATTATTTAACATTATTCTCTTCAAGACTTTGACCTAAAGACTGATTTTGAGATTAAATTTATATAGTTTTTGAAATTTTTTTGTTTTAATTATTATTCTAATCTGTTAAGAAAAGATTATTTAGCTTTAAAAATCTATTTTACATAGCTAAAAAAGTTATAAATAAGATATATACAGCGGTGACCACTCATTTTTTAGTTGGTTTCTTAACCTTTAACTCAAAATTAAGAGTTATTAAACTATTTTTTTTAATATCTTGTTAATCAAAACATACGAATTAATATGATATAATTTTTTAATCTAATTCTAATTAAATAACGTTTAACTTTTTAAAAAACTGATGAGTACTTATAAATCTTCTTTAAATAAATTGGTCAAAATTTAACGACCACTTTCAAATCTTTAATTTGCACTTATTAAAAACAATAATTGATTATTTTTTTTAACTGCCTTAATTGCTTATTAAGTTGGCTATAAAATAAAATGTCAAAACCTGAGTTTCGATATCAAATACACATTTGTTTTTTGAGTTGCAATAAGGATATAAAAATATTGCGAAAATGTGTGCAAAGATCGAAGAAAAAGGCAGATACGCGGCGCTTGTATTAAAAGAACACAGCGGGCACGGCATCGTCCATATGACGTCGAAAGGTCGTCTTTTTAAGACGTGAATTTAGGACGTTCAAAACTTGTGGAAATGGAAACGCCGAATGACGTCTTTAAATAACCTAATTTAGACGTTCTTATTTCGACGTCTAAAATACGTGTTCTATCATGGCTTTACTTAAACGTAAGGTTCAAATTTATGTTTTCACAAAACTTCTTGAGAATAAGAAAAAAATAATAAATCATTTAAATTTTTTAATAATATAATTGTGCTGAGTTTTATAAATTACAACTTTGTAAACTTCTTCTTCCACTTGTTAATTTCCAAGAATCGAATTTTTGAACAGTTGACGTCATTCACCTTCTTTTCGATCAGATGCACTCTTTAAAATATTGCCACCAGCATTTTAAAGTTTTTTTTTGCTGTATGAATCAGGGAAGCAGTCTTAACCTTAAAAAAATATTGTTAAGATAAGTATGTAAAAATAAAGGGGAAATAAATAAATAAATAACACACACACACACACACACACACACACACACACACACACATATAATTATTATTTTATAAACATAACATCAAACATCAAAAAATACTATTTTCTCAACACTAAATTTATTTTTTTAAAGAAATTTTTGACTAGATTGTTGTGACCAGCGTATATATTTATGTATATCAAGTATGCAATATAATTGCGGTATTAAAAATGCTCTTTTTATAGTAAAATTATACTTACTTTGAAAGCATGCCCTTCTCAAATGCACTGCATGATGAGCCACCAACATTTAATAAATTCTATTTCTAAATTCAAAAGATAACACTAGTGTAATTGATATGGGACAATTTAGTGTAATTTATATTGGGCATAGGAGCAATTCATTAGTGTTTTATTCAATTCAAAAATTTTGTGTAAATTATGTTTATTTGTAAAGTGAGCATTATGTATATAATTACAGATCAAAATTTTTTATGTAATTTACCCTTATAAAAGAAAACTAAACATTTAACCATAATAAAAAATATACTACTTTTTGCAACATTAGTATCGAGAAATGACTGATCACATTCAAGAAACTTGGCGATAGAATCATACTAGTAAAGATCAAAACTATTCTCAACTTTAAACGTTTTTTAT